TGTTTTTATGTCAGAAGAAAGCTCTTATGCACATGCCTTTATGCCCTGGTATAGACTGACACGAACAAACAAAAAATTCAAATTAAACTGTTTTTGGTTGCATTGAAGTTGCTTCTTTTAAAGACTTCCGTTGTAGTCTTGCGCGAGCCACCATGCGTAGCATTCAAACACGGTGTTTCCGGTTGCATAAACGAAGTATTGCTTCAAATTACAATTGTTTTAAAATCCGAAAACAAATATGTTAGGTATGGTTCGTTGCCAACATAACAAAATATGGAATTATTAAACAAATGTTACTATACGAACAGTGATAAATGTTAGTAAAATATATAAGTCACACGTTTCTCATCAGGTATCATGCGCAGAGAAAGAGTTTGATCTTCTGAGTTTTTCAAACATAACAGTTCATAATAAAGCTTGCACTCTGTACCATATATATGTCCTAATGGTAATAAGATCATGTCATGTTTGCTTTGTCACAGACCCCAGACGAACAAAGTAACCTTCGCCTAAGAAGACCCCAGACGAACAAAGTAACCTTCGCCTGAGCAGACCCCAGACGAACACAGTAACCTTTGCCTGAGCAAGATACCTGAATTCATTATATACAAATAATACTAGAAGACAATTCAGGTTCAAAAGTCAACCTCGAGGCACCAACTAGGAAAAAGTTGTCCCAAGGCCAATACTTCCAACAGCTTAACCAACCCTCTCCGTAACGAACAACAAATTGCGGCGTCACACTACACCAACAGTTCAATCTTCCACCTTTTGACAAGATCCCGATCCTCCAACCTCTCTGGACAAATGTCAAATGTTATTCAACTTGACCTGTATCGTTCACTTCCGGTTCTTCTGGCTCTTTCTTTATATCGTCGTCTTCGGCGGTGAGAATCTTCTCGCGCACCTCCGCCGACGCCTTGCCCTTATCGACATCATCGCACCAGCTCCGATACTGCAAAATCAAAATGTTCGTCTTTTTTATATGATCTTTTGACAAGCAAGCATGCATACCATTTGGTGTTAAAAAATATATTATTCACGTAGATTATCTAGATCTCATGCACACATAGAACGTTTATCTTCTTCTTTAATCCAAAGTGAACTGGAAGTAGTTTTTCTATATCTGACTGTAGCAGAAAAAAATGGCTGGCAGTCTAAAACCTTGAAGCAAAATCAATCTGAGTCAGCTGCAGTGCGTGTATATGTCGAGAATACCCAGTGTATTACATGCATGTATTTCTCAACTATATGATAATGGAAAGGATAAATAATACTGAACAAACGAGGATGATGTCTGTTACAAAAGTCTGTTCCTATCATTCGTTGCTGGATAACGTACACAGAATGGACCCTTGATTCATATCTGTCTCCAGTAGTATGAAGAAACAGTAGGTACTGAAGCTCACCGTGTGCAAAGCTACATACTTGTGCTTAGCATATGTCTCTCTATGATGCCAAGTATAACTTCAATATTTAGTGCATTGCTACATGAAATGCTGCGTCCATTAAAGGAGATTTGTTCTTACAGAATAACTATAAAGTCAATAATATTTCTTGATGATGAGACATTTCGTATGACCTATGACACAGGCAGTTTAATGCCCAATGTGTACATATATTATTATTGCAGTGAGTGAGTAAATGAATTCAAAGCCGCATTTCAGTTATATCACAGCGTGTCGGGAAAACCCGAACTGATGCAGGTCTTATATGTTCACCCCTTAGGTGAAACCCACAAGTACCGGTATGGTATTGGCAAACCTAGAATTATAATCAGGACGGAACGGGATGATTAAACGCGTAAAACAACTGGACCACTGCACTGAAGAATAAACATATCGTTTTGTTTGACAACAGCCTGTGTTGCTCACCTCGCTGCCTGTCACTTGATACCTGATGTCATTTGATACGTGCCACGCCAAAAAACAATATTCCAATAGACACCCGATACCGTTTGACAACACTTGCCGTATGTAAACTGACTATGTATTCCAATTGCCACCCTAGACAATGTGTGCCGAATGATATCGTATAATGTGACTTTACAAAGTATTTCACTTAACAACGAATGTTGTTTCAGGAAGTTTGCCACTGGTTGTGAATGCGACTTAACAACGTTGTTATTTCCTATATTTCATGCCACTTGATATACCGTATGCTGTTCAACACGTATGTCCATTATATATGGTGTCCCACGTGACATTTCATACGCAAACCGACATGGATTTCCCTTGCTAACGTACACATTACGTCATTTTGACCACTATGCCCCGTGATGCGGTATGCAACTTGACGCTTCACTATGTCGCTTCACAATACACTACGCGTTTCAGTTGGCAATTGATAATATTTGTCACTTCAAACCTGTAACGTGTGCCGCAAAACAACATATCACCTTATTACGTATGCCACTTATGACGTCCGCGACATGATCAAGTTGGTCCAGAACAACCTTCAATCTGCTTTGAAAACACAATGCCTTTCACATAATATCAGTAAAAGAATTGACAGGAATAGAAAAAGTGTGTTTTCATGTCAAACATTTTATCTCATATCTTAGACCTGTTCCACAAAGCGATCTTAGTGCTAAGTTGGTCGTAACTCCCATACTTTATCATAGGCTTACGATCAACGTAGCTCTAAGATCGTTTTGTGAACAGGGCCCTGAAGAGGTTTTCACTCATGGTTTTGCTGACTCTCTCAATTTGTCACTCGGTGAAATAACGATGTTATTTGGAAAGAAAAGCCAATTATCTACAGTGTTATTATACTTGCACTGACATTTGCACGTGTCCTATTATATTCATGAAGCTTATTGGTCAGTTGAAGCAATATGGCGCAATACTGCCATGAATAAGTACAATAGGTTATGACGTCATCCATTGTTCGTGGCGTCACAAATTGAAATTACGTTTCAGCGACGAGTCTGTTTCAAAGTCCACATGTCATACACGTTTCGTCATCTGTTCCTTTCTTATATATTCGGATTACCACAGTTTATACATTCAGTTAATCCTATCGGTACTCTCCAGTAGATGCTCAGCTTTTCATACGGTATTACCATTCAGATATTTACTGCTAGTAACAGTATTATGTTATTGTCTCTCCGACGACAAACTCTACCGACACAAATCGGTGTTCTTATGAATGACGTAAGAATACAAGTGTAAATTATCAGATAACCCTTAAAGTACATTGTAAAAGTGTGCTCAAGAATTGCCAAAAGCACACAGATTTGAACGGGGATGGGGACTTTTTGATCAGTTTTCACCTCAGAACACAATACTAGTTTTCTTGGCTTATCTTTCAGTGCCTTTAATAATATATGAGCAATTCTTTTTCTTTCCCGGATATATATAAATATGTGCGACTGCTTTTTAGTGTATTGAGAGCAGCGTGCCTGCATCGAGGTCATATAGCAGTAGATACTTGAAATGTTTGCCGAGATTAACAAGTGTGTCAGACAATAAATGCATGATTAGTTCGTGAACCTCTGTACTCTCATGAGTGAGTGAGTATGGTTCTACGCCGCTTTAGCAATATTCCAGCAATATCACGGTGGGGGACACCAGAAATGAGCTTCACACATTGCACCCATGTCGGGAATCGTTTGTATAGTCACTACTACTTCAACACACGCAATATATATTGTGTGTGTGTTGAATAAGTAGCGACTTGTAAATTGAAAACTTCTCTAGCAAACAGAAGCAACATGACGTCATCAATGATACGATGTGACGTCAGTCAACATCATGTTAACAATATTATTTTCATTACGTAAATAATAATGAAGAGCGCGTGAAAATTGTATTACACATGTACCTTACTGTCGTATGGATGTACATTAACCCAATTTAGATTTTTAACCACATGGATAATAAAATAAGAGTTATCCCCCCTTGACTGTTTAAACCTCTCGCCGGAGTTCTCCCATGGAGAGGAGACAGTGAATATCTTACATTTACATCTTTTACATTTGCTATTCACATCTTTGCATTGAACTGATAGACTGAGACGAGCGTGTTGACTGATGTGATTTCTACATACTTCTTGCTGTATGTGTGATGGTTTTTTCATAATGTGGACAGGTGAGAAAGATGGCTCGGTTTATTGGGATTAAGGTTCACATACAGTTGCTAGATGAATGCAATTACCCTTAGTCAACCTGTAAAAGTTGATGTACATATAGCACCAAATGAGTTAGTTTCATGTCTACACTTGGACTTTGTGTAACCTTTCTTGTGCATGCCTGTCGAATATTGTCCAGTTGGTTCCAGCGTGTGTCTGCACCTTACGATAACTGTACGATGCTTTACCAATGTTCACCTGTACACGTCAGCCATCAGGTGGGGTCTTATGTTTACATAGCTTGGGGTTTTGTATCACCACCATGCAATTCAAATATCCTCAGCGCTCTCCTTCTCACGAGGTGCCAAGTGGTGTACAAGATGTAATCTTAATGTAATTGTAGATCCACTTAAGTTGCTAAAAATGAAATGAAAGTATAGCTTGTAGTTAAACAGCAGGATGCCTGTTCATGAAAAGAAACATTTCGACCATAAAAGGAAACATTTTTTTATTTACTGCTGGGCACTTCAGATGAGCCAAGAAACTAACTTGGAATCCATTAACAATAGTGCATACTGTGTTCGTATGTAAAATAAATACATGTAATTAAGGTTAATTTGTTTTAAGGAAGAAGCCGAAATATTTAAGAGTCTTTAGTTCCATATGAGGGAAGATTTGTAATAAATTCATTGGCGGGCATCCATAGCTAAGTTCTGCTATTCAATGGTATCTTGAGACACAGATGTGCAGGTGCTTGATGTGCCTAACCACTATACTCTGTTTAAAATATCTGCATCTATTGTGCCAAGAACAATAGGACACCAGTGTGCTAACCACTATCTATTGAGTGGTATGTGTATTCCATGTTTGATAACTGGAAGTATGACTAGCTAGTGTATGGCATGCGTGAAAAGAAAACAAACACACAATGAGAAAATATATTGTTTATAATGTTAAACCTTCCTGATGGCTTCCTTATGAAGGATGGAACATTACTATAGTACTTTCTTATTGACATTAATATTGTAACATCATCTTTTATTGAATATGTTGACAATAAACATGTTGAAGTGCTGTTAAATAAACATTTTATCCATGTCAGACACATACACCAAATATACTAAACAGAAAGGTCCTGATATTATCATATTTGTAAATAAAACTGAACATATACTTGGTATTATCGTAACATATGATAAAACATCTTAATCCTATAAATTCCAGGACAGATTGACATAGTATTACACACAGACAAAATATTTAACATGCATCATCTAGAAGCACTTGACTAGGAAAACAGTTTGACAATAATACCTGTAACCATGGTAACATAGGATTATGTCAGAAAAGACTTTCTTACATTTATTTACTTATGATACATAATGTTTTAATGTTATGTATATGACACAAGGAGAGTATAGTTTTCAAATACAAGCTAGAAATACAACAAAAAATTATAAAAAAATGGGGGAAACTCAATTCTGTCTGAATGCAAGACATTCTCCTGCATAGCAGCTACCAATACCCTTCACTGAGTAAGCTAAATCCACAAGGACCAAAATGAATGAGCTTCAGAAACCCAAAGAGATACAAAACAATAACCATAATAACCCATCAAAACAAGAAATATAGGAATAGCTGTAATTGCATATGTATATAAACAGTGTCATGCCCACTGATATTAATATGGGATATATACGGAAACTTTTCATAAATAAGAATAACATTCCTTAAAAAAAAAATACAATTTCAGATCTGAATTTTACACCACTGCTGAACAAATAAAATGTTAGCATGGTCAAGAGTAACATCAGTACAGTGGGGCCAAGTTTTAGCAGCGAGTACAAAGCTATCAATCATAGTCATTCAGAAAGAAGGGGGAAAAACATAATGCATACACCCTGTGGTAGCTGCCTTGCAGACCATATGTGGTCAACTGAAATTACTAATAACAACGCTCTCTACTCAGACATACAGTTTCCATATGACTGTGATAATATTACTTAACACTCAGTAAACACTGAGTTTATTCAGTATATAAATTCCAGACAACACAATGCTAAAAAGGATGAGCAACAATGTGTAGTAATAACATTCTTTTTTCTGATTGTAATTTTATTCAAACTTAATCCAATTATTTCTTTCCTTTCGATGTAACCATGGCAACAACATACAATCAACACCAATAACTACCATGGAACTACTTACGGGTAAATATACACTCAAATGTAAAAAATGTACTTAACAAATGAAAAAGCATATTACAACAAAGACATTTTTTGGCCGTATTACAAATTTATAGATTGAAATAATGGGCATATTTCAAAAGAAATATGAAATGTAAAAAATAAGGTTGTATGTGTATTTATCAATGTTGAGGGTTTTATAAAATAATATCATTTTAAAAATATTGGTTCCTTTGGTTTTAGAAGCAGTAGTGTATGATCATGTTCATGCACTAGGGTTTGCATAAATGAAGCAGGCACTTCAGCTGTTGGTGATGTCAAATGGAAGAGTAAATAGTTGACGTGAAAATGAACATCACTATTCACCTTAAAATATGTAAAAAGAAACACACATATACATCAGACATTTCTTGTTTTTAATGAACTTAAACATGTTAAATACTTTAACTTATATGATATGAAATCAAAATACACTGATATTAAAATCAGACTTGACAATAAAAAGAATAAACATCATCAAGATCAGAAAACGTCTTTTATGAATGATAATGTTATAATGTGTACTATCTGAATAACAATCTCAGGTGTCTTGATATATGTATTTCAATAAAGTCTTTGCCTTTTTCATTTTATTGGATGTACATTTTTCAACCCAGGCAATGTTTTGGATAACAGTGGTACTATTTCCTTAGCAATACCTGAAGCAAATACTAGATGCACTTTCGAAATATGATGTAACACTGTACATTGTAGGTGTGTATAGCAACTCACAAGGAATGACTTTTTAACATTTTTTTTGCATTTTCAAAAGATGAACTATATCTCAACTTTGGCTCCGGTAAATAAATCACACTGCCCACTTGATGTTAAAAAAGCACAAGCACTCATAATGCCAAAGCCCTTTAATACTGCCCTTCCTGGCATGGCTACAGTTTGGTATATTGGTTAAACAGCATAAAACCATAGCTACTTTTGATGTATGCAAAGTGTCACTTGCCACTTCTTGTAGCTTGCAGGGAATGGTTTGTCATGTAATATAACGGTGGGTTTGTTCAAGCAACATAAACATAAATCTCTCGCCAATTTTGTAAAAAGTTAAAAAAGAATTATAATGATTATTTCATGTTGTTTTCAAAAGGGAATACCTTCATTGATAAGAAAAATCCAAAACAGATACTTATACCAAATTCCTAATCCTACGCACTCTTTATTCCAAATTCACAAAATAAACATTCTTGATGGTGGCATGAGCCACATCACCATTGAATTCTTATCTGAGACATTCCAATACATCATACCGCACTACAGTAAATACATCAAATAATAACAACAACGTATACAAAACAAATAATGTATGCCATTCTTCGCGTCAACAGTACAAAAATTTATAAATATGCCATTTAAAATATTGCATGAGTCCACTGTTTGAATGTGAGTTTAGAAACTGCCCTGTGTCACATCCATGTGAAAAAATACTTTCCAATTTCCACTTATACCTGTTAACCATCAACAACTTTTGTCAATAGAGAAACAAATTCAAACAAACAAAAATCAAATCAACACAATTAAATATTTGTTCTTTTTAACAATGGTACAGCATACCCTACTGGAAATTCTATGAACGAAAGAAAATAAACTTTTTACTGTATCATTGGATAATTCAATACAGATGCAAATATATAGCAGAACAATCAAACCTAATTTGCCAGACCTGTACAATCAAGAAACAGTAATACATTGTACTCAAAATATAGAGCATGTTGACTGTCCCCACGAATGCTATTTCTACAAGGGTGAAATGATTAGCACTATATTCACTTCTTGAGGCACAAAATTATATATATGGACCATACAACTGTTTTGAAAAGTGAATTTGTTTTATTAATTGGTCTGTATACTTATATATTCCCTAGTATAGCACCTGTCAAGCATACACATTTTGTTTTCATTGCTGGACATGCATTTGTGCCAAAAACGATTAATCCGGAATAAACCATAGATAAAGCACAGTGTTTTAGAGGTATCTCATGCTGAAAACCTATTTCATAAGTCTCTCATCAACAGTGACTCCTCCCAGGGTCAACCCCTAGAAGAAGTCACCTATTGTCAAGTGTCCGAGCCCGAGTCTGAGGAGTCGAGGAAGTCCTGTACCACAGTTGGAAGAGGCCGGACACCATCTACAGACTGGGGAGTTCCACAGGCCGACTCTGCACCTTGGCGGGACAAACCAGGCTCGAAATCCACCAGCAGAGACAGCCACGAGTTTTCCTGGGCCATGCTGGCTGTATCTTGTGATGTAGACGCTTGGGGATTGTATGATGGACCGATGTTGTAGTTGGGATGGAGGGATGATTGTGCTGAAGAAGTGAGTGTTGTCATGGTGTCAGGTGATCCAACACATGTGTTTGGAATGTTCATATTATTGAGGTTTATGTAGTTCTGTGAAACTGTCCCCGGGGTAGGGTAGTTGCTCACATTACCCACAGAATGTCCAGGATAGTCACACTGGGATGGGTACATAGACCCAGACACACTTGCACCAAAGTGAGCACTGGTATAATGTCCTTCAACTAGCCCTGGTATGTGTGTATTTGACCTTGGCATCTGGCCCATGCTTGTGCTTGAGTGAGGCATGGCGTTGGGAAACAAGCTTGTGTCGTGAACCTGAGCGCCTGAGCCATGGAGCTGTGAAGCTAGATGTGACCCTGGAAAGTGTCTTCCAGAACTACTAGGCAGAGCCTGGGGCTCAAATGATCTTGACCCACTCGGGGTTCTATAGTCTGTCATATCAGGAGTATGCGATCCAGAACTCGATTCAAGATATCCCTGTGTTCCTGATGTAACTGTACTTGTCCGACTTGATCCAAGATGGCTGCTAGTTGATGCTTGACCTTGACCCTTTTTCCCTTGTGAAGAGTCCTGATGTATTGTGTTGAGAAGTTTGTCTGTTACAACCCCTTTATCGACTTGTATGCACCATTGTTTAAACTGTAATTCCAACATGAATGTCACATAATCAACAATACACATCACATAAAGGAAATGATTATAACACATATGTTATTTCGAGAGGTAAATGAATGGGCTGCTGAAAAGGTAAAGCAATCTGTCCATATCAATTCATGAGTGTGATTCAAATACCAGTGACACCAGTAGTATGTTTCTTAACACAACATAAAGCCAATGCTTGTCAGCCAAACAATGGCACAGTTTGAACAATCATCTCAATGAAATATTAAAAAATTGTTATTCATCAAGTTTGCAGTAAAGGCAAGAAATCATTACTTTAATAACAGAGCCTTGTTCAACAAAGCGATCTTAGCGCTACGGTGATCGTAACTCCCATTCTTTATCATAGGCTTATGATAGTCGTAGTGCAGAGAAAGCCTGCAGAACAGGTACCTGAAGAACAAACCATTTCAAGGACATACTAAATTTTAGGATCTAGGTTATTTTTTGCGGCAACACACTCCCTATACTCCTGCATGTAAGCTTAGAAAATAACAAGAAGTAATAAGTTATAAGTTATTCCATATACAATGGAAATCAGTACTGAAATGTAGGATGTAGCTTATGTTAAAGAGGATTATAGTCTATGCCAAATTCATTCGTGTCAAATAGAAGTAGCGACTACTATTGGACACAGTAGTGGCATTTGACATCATTTTCAGTAGGATAGTGTGCTACATATGGGAATTCTGTTCACTGAGCTTACACTGATTAGACAAAGAGAATTTGTCTAGACCTAGACTTTGGACTAGTAGCTGACATCCCAACTTGAACTATATAGGCTCAGATCACTTAGCCATCCAAGACTGATTTAAGTCCCCCAAACATTGTTTCCAACTTAAATATTATGAATTCTATAAATCTAGGAGGTAATGATCACCCTAACCAAGCTACTTACTGATACACAGAGAAAATGTTTCCATTCACACACTGCAATTAATACAACATCTGGACCACTTACACCAGAAAGGCTGTGAAGCATGGGTGTCCCTTAACCATAACCATTGCATAAAATCTTAAGGAGTAAATCAGGAGTATGCCATGAAGATAGTTAAATGTCCTATTACAGCAGAAAGAGAATGGGCGTCCACCAGTAAAATATTTGACCACAGAAAATTGATGTCAGGACAGATAAGAGTTACCTCCCTTGTACTATGTTCAAATCACTTTCTCTGTCATTTATCAAGTACCTGAGTGTCAAGAATATTCTCAAACTAATGAGAGTATGTGTGTGTGTGTGTGTCGAAGGATATTAATAAGTTGTAAAAACAGAAAAAGTTTGATCATGCCTACTACTCATTTCATGCTTATGATATTTTCTTTTAAATAGAGAAATTTGAAATAAAATCAATTCTATGAAATAATCTACCCTTTCATGCATTGAGTAAGAAGTGTAAGGTTATCTAACATAGTGTTTTAGCTAGCACTGCTTCCTACTGATATGTGTTTCTGTATCTACTGAAAATAGACTGAACTTGAACTTGATAAAACCTGCAATCTGAAATCTGTATTAATCACCACTTACCACCTCCAGCTCATCTCTGAGAGCAAATATAGCCTGTTCCCTGTTTAGCACTAACTCCTCCAAGTACTGATAACGAAGCTTTTTCCGTGCTCTGCATTCCCTTGCACTTTGTCGGCTCCGTTCAAGTTTAGCTTTGACATCTATTCTTGATGGTTTACGGCCTGGGCGTTTACCCGCTCTTTTCAATGGTCGCTCACTAAGCATCTTGGATCCTGAAGCCTGAAAATACACCAATAATAGAAATAGGCGAAATCAGTTTCATCCCTGTTAAGTTAATTTTACATTTATGACAGATAAGTGAAATCATGTTACAATTTTGACTGAGAAAGCCAGATTACGTGGTACTGAGATTTTTATCCCTTTGTTTCAATTTACAATCATTAATTTATTTTCCAAATTCCATTGTATGTCGTGTAAAAGTAAAAGTTGAATAATATAAAAGTCAAGGAAGGGACTGAAAATTTATTATAGGTGATGGGTGGAGTGTGGGGTCATTAGAAAATGACACATGCAGCTCTTCTTTTTCAAATAAAAAACTAACAAACTTGAACATTAACCGACTCGTCATTAATGTTAGGTAAGTGCGGCAGAGGTGTGGTTGGGTGTCGTGAAAATGACCAATCTCCCAAACACCCCACCCAACAATAATTTTCCAGTCCCTTTTTAGAGCTGTCGGAGTATAATGTCGAGTGTGACATGAATAGCAATAGCGTTATTCGAGTAAGCGTGCGATACAGTCATGACCACAAAGTTGAAAGGTCATCCTAACCTCAAGTAAACACATCATCGTTCCAGTCTGGAGATGGCGACACATCATCACATGAGTCTGACAGTACCTCTATGTGTATGCGTGGTTTCCTGGTTTATAACTGACAATACTGCAGCGTGTTTCTCGATCAGCTGATCGTAACATGGTATACGTAGCTGTCAAAACGAGACTTCTGAGAATCAAGGATTTCGGGAAAACCCCAAGCATGACAACAACGTTAACAGGATACCTTTTCACTCGGCTCCGTTGTATCCGGATTGCGGCTGCTTGGGTCCGTGTTCTCGGCTAGCTCTTGGTTACTATCTGCTACAAATCCGAAAAAGAATTTCACAACCACAGAAGTACAGTTGCTTACTCATCGGGCTGCAATATGTATAATACCATGGATGTAAACAAACTGTCTTCTTAGGCGCCTACGTCACATTGATCGCTTGACGTCAGAGCAATATTTGTCGCAGCGCCCTCTGACGGCCATTGTAACCAATGGAATTCTTCCTTTGTGAGTAATGTGCTATAATTAGCAAGAACGCGATGCTGCTGGAACGTTCCAAATAACATGTCAACAAGATATTGTCAGACTGAATCAACAAAAACTAGTTCAATCTGATTCATGGGGGTTGTAACCAGTACGTTCAAGTAAACCTTTTGGATATTGATTTCGATATGGGCGAGTGATTACAAGAACATATATGGGCACTACACAAATTTATTGTTTCGATGTGTTTACGATTGCTTTCCTCCCCAAATCTTTCCGTTGACCGAGCAAGTCACTTTAGAACTGGGTCACACGCCCCAGTATATAGCCTACCACAAGCAGTGAACGTGTTCCTAGCGTGTAGTTGTATCACTCGGGATTGATCGCGAACTGATGATGCAACACGTGTTTCAGAATCTTTGTGGAAGTTTAATATTAGTCGAGGTTAAGGAGGCGATGTTTATTGCCATCAAACACAAACAGGATTTGATCTCCTAAATTGAAACTGTTGATTCAATATATTAAGATATATAAACGATTCGGTTTAAAATGTTTCATTCATTACTTGTACATGAGTAAAACCACTGAGGGCGGTACAATTAACAAAATAGGCGTCACACGTAGATGGAAGAATACATGCAGGTACCTTTATAGGGTACCAGGTACCCAATACTAAAGACGATAGAGACAAATATATTAAATGGGTAGACGAATCGCCCACACTGCCGTTTCTAAATTGCTGATACAACAAACAACACCCTGAAATCGATTTGGGGTGAGTCAGCTGTGGTATGACTGATAACTAGGTCGGCCGCCTGCTGAAACAATCACATTGACACACCTGTTTGTGTAATTGCCGTGACCACACCTGTTAACTGATGGAAGAGAATCGAGTTTCATGTTGGTGCAGATAAACAGGAAAGACTTTCAAGTGGGATCAGTTAATCAATGAACGAACTGGCAACCTTGACACTGTTGTTTGTATTTGACGACAACGAGGAAGGATATTACACCAAGGTCGTATAAATGACGCAATTTGTAGCAGCTCGATTACATAGCTGTTGGTTTCATGAGATAATAGCAATTATATACTCAAACATAACTGTGATCATACAATAATATATTTACTGAAAACAGAAAATGTCTAATAATTTCGGTGATGTGCTCCTATAAGCCTTTACAGACCGAACTGTCTTCTTCTAATAGACCAATGCCGCCCTTATGGGTATTATACAGAAACCAGATGCTCCGTTGTAGGCCGAAGGACTTTACGTCACAACTTGCAAAACGACTGTGTACACAACGCATAACAGAATACAGAATTTGTTAAATTATAAATTGGATATAAAAAAAACAACTTTATAAAGCTTATATCTTCGGCCCAATAAATACACAGTACGTTGAGATTCGTGTTTTCAGAAAAAACAAACAATAGGAAAATCACATGATCACATTTACCTTTGGTGGTTATTTAAGTACCAAATGTTTCATCACATAGAACTCACAAGAAGAATGTTATTTATGGCGGCTGTGACAGTGTTGCAGCACCGTTAAATTGAAATCAAAGATGTCAGAACACACCATAATATACAACCAAGCTATAGCCAGGATCACACTAGAAAACCGCTCGTACTCCTCGTGATCCTTACTCCATGGTTGTGGTAATTACTAATATGAATTACTTCAAAAAGTTTGTTTGATTGTTGCTTAACACCGCACTCATTCCAGCTATATCACGTTGGTCTGTAAATAATCGAGTCTGGACTAGGCGATCCCGTGAGTTAGTGAGTTGGGTTTAACGCCGCTTTTAACAGTATTTCATGTTATATCACAGCGTGTCAGCTTAATGTGGGTGGAAAGCCCGAAGTGATGCAGGTCTCAGACGTGTACCACTTCCGTGAAACCCACGAGGACGGGCATGGTGCTGACAAACCTAGAAACATAATCGGGGCGAACCGGGATTCGAACCCACAATCATAGGTTTCTGGTGTGCCCAAAGATCCCGTGATTGACATCATGAGCATTCGATCTACGCAAACACAATACAGCCCTCTTATTGCACAACAATTCAAATCCATTGATGCTAAAATAGACTTTTTATTATTGAACTACTTGTAGACAGCATATTACGCCAGTTATATGGACTTACACGACCGATCTTCTGAGCTTTTGCTGGTTCGTAAGGAAGACATCACAATCGTTGGTATTACGTATTAAACCGTAATATCTGCTGACACTGTAGTTCGTCTTCAAAGAAGTTTCGTATAGGTGGGTTAATGGACTGCCATATAAAAAACCTGTTATCTCTGGAACAAAGAGAAACAAGATTATTATAATTATCATCATCATCATCCATTGTGATCATATAATGCTTTTGAAGACGAAATACGAGAGTATAATACGTAAATTTATAATGTTAAATAATATTGATACAAAATGACTCGAGTTGTCGTCGTCGGCGTCGTCAATACCACCTTCACCTTATTTCGTTCCCTTACATTTTGATAGCTACCATACGTGCAGTTTGAAAAGAGAGATGAAACGCCATCGACATGCGGGCATAACGCTCTCGCAATTTACATGGTACAGTTGATTACAGGGGAATCGAACGTCTGTGGTGCCGATAGTTTAGTCCGGTTTAGACAGAGATCCGGATTAGTGAGAATACAGCAGGAATTTGTTTTCACGCAGTAAATTCTGGACCGTACATGCGGTCCGGTATAGACAGGAATCCGAGTTATTCAGAGTCCGGTTTAATTATTCATGAACGGCACGTGGAACATAATGTGTTGGTTTAGCTTGATACCTTTTATTGCTTATATGGTTACCCTCACAGTGTCACCATTGAACACACTTGCCACGAATAGCTGCAAAATTGCTGACGCGGCTTTAAGCAATAAGATGCACTCACTTGAACACACCTGGATTTTGAAGGGGTAGCTGTGTTGCGCATGACGTCACAGGTCACGTGATCGCCTTACACCATTGACGCCGCTGGTGACTTGATTATGGATAAATGCTGCAAGAGTACAATAATATATACAACATTAATACTATATCAATAACAAAAAATAATACAATATCGCTGGTCATTTACGATTTACACGTAAAGCTATAGCAAGCAAATCGGACGGCCAGGAGTCCGGGTCATTGACCCCTGAAAAAACAACCTCCATTCCGAGTCTCCTGGCCCTATATGTTTCTGACCCCTCACCGATCACTTTCAGCTTATGGGTCATATGGCCACTGGATATATCCATACCAATCCGAAGTTATGCAAAAATATCCTCTTGCTTGAAAATGAGACCAGTCCATTTTATAATATAGACCCGTGAAGATCCGGGGTAGAATAGGTCTTCAGCAACCCATGCTTGCCGTAAAAGGTGACTGTGCTTTTCGTAAGAGGAGACTGACGGGATCGGGTGGTCTGTCTCGCTGACTTGGTTGATGCATGTCAGCGGATCCCAATTGCATGGATCGATGCTCATGATGTCAATCACTGGATTGTCTGGTCCAGCTGTCCAGATGGAATATTGCTAAGTCCGGCGTTAAACAACAAACAAAGAAACAAACTAAAACATACTAGTTGTTTGACGCGACGCAACTACCCCAGGCAAAACTAAATTTGGAATCTTTTTTGTTTTATTTTGTTTGTTTAGCGCCTTTCTTAGCAATATTCCAGCTGTATATCACAGCGGCTTCTCCACAACAAAGCATTGAGACTTGAATATGAGCAACGTCCCGCGTACGCCGTTAGGATGCGATGACACACAATCAACCGAGTCTCCGAGCCTCGTCACTCGTTTAGTCGCCTCTAAACGACAACCACAGTCCGCTACTGGGGCCCTATTCGAATCCCCACGGAGGTGAAAGCTTGGCTGTCCTGACAATTTGAGATTTGATTTCGTAACATATTCCGAATAACCAGTCCTCAACGGAGGACATGTAAAACATATTCCGATTGGTATGTATCAACCTACCTGACATCGCATATTCAACACAACAAACTTCTCAATACGGTAACAGTGAAATGTACACGATCAATGACCACTTTCTTTTTCGGTGCTTCTTCCCCAGAAAGCGAAAGGTCTTCGTTATAGCATGGAACTACTTCCCCCATGGACACAGGTGCGTTGTGGACCCCAATCAGTCTGATTCAAACTATATTAATAACGGCAAATCGACAGGTGATTCCGTCTCCACGACTGTTGTATAAATAACTTCGGCAGGGCGATGTGTATACAAAGTTCAAGCAGAGGGAACGTTTGCCTCTTTTCCTAGAATCCTGTTTCCTCACCTCAGCTCACCTCATTCCCGAACGTGGGGAACTTTCCCGGAAATATATTTAGGTACTTTCGTTTTTTGTCCATAAATTTCCACTGAATCATTGTTGGTAATACTAAATCTGGTTTGGTGATCTCAAACGATCGCGTCCAAAACCATCCTTATTAAAATTTGGGGAAATATTTTCAAAGCTTGTACATTTTATCAGCATCCTTAAAGAGGCTAACATCATGTTGATATCTGCTCCCATCATGGATACTCACTGCAGTCTTTGATTGTACGATAAACAACTCCCACTCGTCGTCTATTTCTTAATTACAAACAGAGCAAAATTGGAAGAATGGATGATAAATAGAATCTCACCCTCGTGTCCTTTGACATCAAATATATCAGCACTCGTCTATAGACATTAAAACGTCCTCGGCAAGCCTCGGAGTTATAAACTTGTATCGACTTGTGTTGATTAAAAGAGGGTGTGATTCTCTAGAAATATATTCCAGTTCAAAACATTATATACAACATTATAATCCATATTCTATATCGACAATTCATTAGCCGTACCGGGATCCGGTGGTCAAGGGGTCAAATCAAACATTCGCCTCATGCAGTTATGATCCTTGGACTGTTAGCACCACGCGTGCTCATTACTTTCACCAAAGTGTTATTCGTCTATGACTTGTGTCACTTTAGCTTTCCTTCTATACTAAGCCGACATACAATAACTGAAAACCTCACCAACATATACACATCGCAGTGAAAGGAACAGACACATATATGACAGGAAAGTTCAAACGGAATACTACACGGCACTGCCCACTTTCCTGTATGTATGTATTAAATATTCACATACATATTATATTCCCTGCGCGGAACTTCGTTTAATATATAATTATTGTAATTACGTCGCACTTCTCGAGAAAGGTCGGTTATCAAGTTGTTATGTTGTGTATATCACATAACTTCCGGGGGCATTTTTAGTTTCCGCTTCCAGTTCCGCCTCCCTTTCACATACAAGCCTACAGAAGCGCGACATCAGCTACTTGATGGTGTCATTTCGCTTCCCGGGACTGCATGGGCTTTGCGATGACTGCTCATCAAAATACATATACTTGTGTATATTGAAGATGTGTAAAAGGTGCTTACAGGTTTCGACACTATTCTTCATATAATCCGTCTTCAGCCCATTTCACGACAAAATTTATCACAAATATTAAGGGGAGTAAAAATGACACGATTCTATTCTTTCAAATATAAAAGTTATAAAACTGAACATTATTTAAGGACTGGTAATGTATTACAAGGAGAGCGGGTCATTACGAATGTTTCATGCATTTGGTGGGTCTTGTAATAGCAAATGGTCGCCCCTTTACCGCTATTAATATGACGATTACATACAGAGCGGAATTTTCAATTAATCGGGAAATAAGTTCATTTTATATGTTATTCAATATATATTCAAGCGGGGAACTGGGGGATTTAAATAAGAAAGAATTAATTTCGATCAGGATGGTAAGATTGGACCGACGTGAGATGATAAACACAAGAAAATACAGATGGCCTTAACACGGCAACTGTAAGGTTCAATAGGATCAATTGTTAGTGATATGGTGACAACATTTAAGATTGTTAGTTACAATAAACGACCTCGTAAATAAACACGCGTTTGAAGGCCCATGTGTATAACGGGGCGGGGCGGGGTCCACCCACGTTTTATAACGACAAGTATCCAACCTCCTACCACAGCCAAGCACTACTGTATCGGATCAGCCCAACACTGTTAGACCACTCATATTAGACGCGGTGACTTCATTCACCATAATGCACTTTGTGCATATAACGTTGAACACTTCCGCTGCACGTATTCCTCTCTCCTACTTATGATTTCCCTTCCATCCGACCATCCCTTGTCCCAAATGCATGTTTGTCACATATTACACCAAAAAGGAACTGCACGCTCAGTTTCCCCATTCGTTAAATCAAACGATTGCGGGAGAGCATTGTAAACCTAATCTCCCCGCTATACTCTGATGGTACCGCATTGAAAAGTGTCAGTCTCTTTTCACTTCCGGGTATAGGTTGACAAGCCCAGATTTCATTAGGAAACAGGGATGACACAGTTTCACAGTGCGTGGTGTCAAGGTCATGTACACACTGTGACACTATTTACAAGCCTGCTCGTGTGTGCGTCAGTTTTTCGCGGGCTACGTCATAAGGGAAGTGAATCGGGTAGATCGTAGATTGATAAACAGATACATCTATATGTGTTCATACAGATTCATTGATAGACAATATTAATGATGGCTAAATGGATAACTAGAATAGGTGAGCAGACAAAGTGCAAGGATATAACATAATATATTCATGTAGAAGTGTGATGGACAAGGTGGAACTGAAAGAGTAGATGAATAGTGGATAGTACATATATATGTACTGATGGATAGATAAGATAGAATCGAAGATTAGATGAATAGTGGATAGTACTGATACATATAGATAGATGACATATATATGTACTGATGGATAGATTAGATGGAATCGAAGATTAGATGAATAGTGGATAGTACTGGATACATATAGATATATGACATATATATGTACTGATGGATAGATTAGATGGAATCGAAGATTAGATGAATAGTGGATAGTACTGATACATATAGATAGATGCCATATAGATATGTACTGATGACTAGATTAGATGGAATCGAAGATTAGATGAATAGTGGATAGTACTGAATACATATAGATAGATGACATATATATGTACTGATGGATAGATTAGATGGAATCGAAGATTAGATGAATAGTGGATAGTACTGATACATATAGATAGATGACATATATATGTACTGATGGATAGATAAGATAGAATCGAAGATTAGATGAATAGTGGATAGTACTGATACATATAGATAGATGACATATATATGTACTGATGGATAGATTAGATGGAATCGAAGATTAGATGAATAGTGGATAGTACTGATACATATAGATAGATGACATATATATGTACTGATGGATAGATTAGATGGAATCGAAGATTAGATGAATAGTGGATAGTACTGATGCATATAGATAGATGACATATATATGTACTGATGGATAGATTAGATGGAATCGAAGATTAGATGAATAGTGGATAGTACTGATACATATAGATAGATGCCATATAGATATGTACTGATGACTAGATTAGATGGAATCGAAGATTAGATGAATAGTGGATAGTACTGAATACATATAGATAGATGACATATATATGTACTGATGGATAGATTAGATGGAATCGAAGATTAGATGAATAGTGGATAGTACTGATACATATAGATAGATGACATATATATGTACTGATGGATAGATTAGATGGAATCGAAGATTAGATGAATAGTGGATAGTACTGATACATATAGATAGATGACATATATATGTACTGATGGATAGATTAGATGGAATCGAAGATTAGATGAATAGTGGATAGTACTGATGCATATAGATAGATGACATATATATGTACTGATGGATAGATTAGATGGAATCGAAGATTAGATGAATAGTGGATAGTACTGGATACATATAGATAGATGACATATATATGTACTGATGGATAGATAAGATGGAATCGAAGATTAGATGAATAGTGGATAGTACTGGATACATATAGATAGATGACATATATATGTTATGATAGATAGATTAGATGGAATCGAAGATTAGATGAATAGTGGATAGTACTGATACATATAGATAGATGACATATATATGTTATGATGGATAGATTAAATGGAATCGAAGATTAGATGAATAGTGGATAGTACTGATACATATAGATAGATGACATATATATGTACTGATGGATAGATTAGATGGAATCGTAGATTAGATGAATAGTGGATAGTACTGGATACATATAGATAGATGACATATTTATGTTATGATGGATAGATTAGATGGAATCGAAGATTAGATGAATAGTGGATAGTACTGGATACATATTGATGGATGACATATATATGTACTGATGGATAGATTAGATGGAATCGAAGATTAGATGAATAGTGGATAGTACTGGATACATATAGATAGATGACATATATGATTTCATGCAATTTTGCGTTAATTTAAATATTTCACAGAACATAAACACTTTGTAAAAGGCTTGAAACCTCATAAATATCTTATCTCATATTGGAAATAAAAACCGTTTTCATTTCAATCAATATGTTATTTCAGTTAATCTTGAGTGTCAACATGAGTTAGAAAAAGACTAGAACAGAATTAAAGTCTTAAAACTATGTACATTGTACAAGGTAGATATAGCATAAAATATTATAAATAAACACATTTGTCAATAACGTCATTCAATTGCTGTTTTAAATGTTTCATATGTGAAATGATACGGGATTACAATGTGAATCGATACAAGTAAGTGTGTATTGAGTATTGTATGTATCGTCTTAGAATATTATCGATACGTCGATATACTGGTAAATCGTGAGGTCCCTAGTGATGGGTGTATATAAACTGCCGTGCAAAAGAAACCGAACACCCATGTTCGATACATGAAGTGGGTAGACAATAAACATGAGACAAACAAGAAATGGTTATTCGATGGTGATGTATTTGACCCGACGGTAGATATAGATATAGATAGATGCTTACACTAGATCAGTTATCTCTTTGGGCATGTGGACAAGGCGTCCGACTCCGGATCAGAGGTCCGTGGTTCGAATCCCATCACGGGACTCGGAAAGTTTATAGCCGCTACATTGGCGCCTCTTGTGGCTGAGCACGTTCAGATCAAGTTAGAGAACAATACAAAATCAGTCTTGGTACTCTATGAGGTGACCCGGTAAAGTTATTTGATAGGTCTTTAAGTAAAAAATGTACAGCATAGAATGATATAATAATTAATTGGTATATATAAGGTGGACATACAGAATACGTACATCCTGGATTAGATGGGTGGATAGATTGCTAGATGAACAGTG